ACGGAAGCGAAAGAAAAGAGAGAGTGCATTTAATCTCAATTACTTGGGACCCTCTCCATTTGCCGCTTCCTCACCAAATTCAGGTATTGCTTTGCATAGGTTCTTGAATTTCCTTATGGATTGTTGTTGTGTAGAATTTGTTTATTGGCTGAATCATTCTAATTTGTCAGAGTGGCTAAATGCATCCATCCTTTACCGAACTCTTCCTTGCATGGATTACTGTAGTGGTGACAAGGAACTATTGCATTTGAACCATAATGATCATTCTTTTCTTGAGAATGGTAACATTTGTATTAATAAAAAGGCACTATGGGAGTGCAAAGCCATAATGATCATTCTAATAGAAGGCATTTGCTTTAAAATGGTATATAAGCTCTGTTTTTTGAAATTACAGATGGCCCATCTGTATTACTATTGGAATAATACTTTTGCTTCTTTGCATGAAAATTTACTCTATCCTTTTTCCTTCTGCTACAGAGTTGAGTGCAGGCGCACACAGTAAAATTACTTTCTCAAGAAAAATAGGGTTTTGAACTTTTTAGATATCTGTGTTCTCTTGACTTTTCACTTATTGATCAGCTTTGAAGTATAAAGTAACGGTCAGAAAAATTGATTTCCGCTGTGCCAATTGTGCAAATTTGTTTTCTAGTATTGTTTACAGTTTATTTTAAAAAGTGTAACAACCCACCCTCTTCCTAGCCTTTGGAGCCATAACAAAATACTTATTTTTCCAGATACATCATTCCTAAGATCAAGGTCCCAACATTCTGCTTATCTTGCTGCAAACGGCTCGCAAAGCACTTTTATGTACTCTCCAGAGCATGGCGGTATTGGAAATTCAAGATCATGGTTCACTTATGAAGAATTAGCTGAGGCGACAAATGGTTTTTCCTCCGAGAGTATTTTAGGTGAAGGTGGGTTTGGATGTGTTTACAAAGGTGTTCTTAGTGATGGAAGGGAAGTCGCTGTCAAACAGCTGAAAAGTGGAAGTGGACAAGGGGAACGTGAGTTCAGAGCAGAAGTTGAGATTATCAGCCGTGTACACCATCGTCATTTGGTTTCGCTCGTTGGTTATTGTATCTCAGAGCAACAAAGGCTACTTGTATACGACTATGTGCCAAACGACACGCTTGACTATCACCTTCATGGTAAGACCGGTTTGAAATAAGGAACTGATTAATTGAACTACTTGGATTGCTGTACTGTAGATTCTTTTCTCTACCATTGAGATCTCCAATACCACAAATTCAAGATGAGTTGCTTATTTCTTTTACCATGGCTGATAATGTCCAAAGACGTGACTAGCTGCTAACAATGGCTACAGCCAATTGGGCCTTCTGTTGTGCCACATTACAGTGAACATAAACACTCTATTCTCAGATGTGATTCCAACTTAACTTCTATCACTTGATTAAATGCTGTAGGTAAAGGCGGGACTATGGATTGGGCTACCCGAGTGAAAGTAGCTGCTGGTGCAGCACGTGGACTTGCTTATCTGCATGAAGACTGTAATTTCCTTCTTTCCCCAGTATCAAAAAAATATCATCCTTTCCTTTTATATTTATATTTCCTCTTGTCCACATTAAAGTCTAGGGCTTCATGAGACTTAACAAAAGGAATGATGGAGACAAAGTGGTTAGAGGAGCAGTTTCAGATTTCTGCAAAGTAGTTCAGATGCAAAATACCAAATGCTCCTCGCTTAGCATGTGTTTTCCATCAAAATAACCTGATTTCATCATCCTTCGGTATAGAAGTGTTTTAGATTTCTGCAAAGTAGTTCAGATGCAAAATACCAAATGCTTCTCGCTTAGCATGTGTTTTCCATTAAAATAACCTGATTTCATCATCCTTCGGCATAGAAGTGTAATACCTCGACTGGTCAATGCCATTAGTAACTGCATTGTTTATTCATGAGAAACTAAAATAGACCAATCCTTTAAGTTGTAATAAGCTGTGGGCTTTCTTGGTAATGCAGCATGTTGTTCAGTTGTTGTTTTATGCAATTTCCCTTGGTTTATCCTCTAAAATTTTGCTAATTATGTCATTTTCAGGCCATCCCCGCATTATCCATAGGGATATCAAATCATCAAACATTCTCTTGGATATCAACTTTGAGGCACAGGTATTCCAGTTTGTCCAACCTAAACTTATGTTTGTGACTTGGTATTGTCATTGTTTGTTGAATTTAGGCAACTAAACCAAAATATCTTGTGTTCCATACCTGTAACGGTTTATAGGTAATTGTATGCGTTATGCTTCATAGTTTATGTATTTTATGCAATTTTACAATGCTTTATTCTTTTGCAGGTTGCAGATTTTGGGCTTGCAAGGTTAGCAGGTGATGTCAATAGTACACACGTGTCAACTCGTGTGATGGGAACCTTTGGGTAGGTCATACATGTGCTAAGTCTTAAATTTGAAGAAATCTAGTTTGGCCTCATATGCTGTTACAATCTTGTATCAACTGACTATATCCTCAACGCCTTTGGCAGTTACGTCACAAGTAATCTCCATAAATTGTGATCCTAAACCTGCTTTTACTTTGAAACTCAGTGGAGTGAGTAAATTGACCTTAATAATAACATAAATTGATTTCCCACTTGTAAGAACAGCCTAAAGTTGGTTTAATCCTCCAATTGGTAACTTTGTACTCTTGTGTGAGGGCAGGATTTAGTCTTCAGTCAAACAGTTGCTTTAATGCAGCATCGCACAACCATGATGCAATAGATTTTCCAATTGGCTGTGCCATCCTATACTAAGAAGTGGGCTAAACTGATATTAATCAAGACTTATTCTGTAGCTGTATATGATGTGTCGAGCTGATTACTTGATATAACATGAATGATTCCAGATACTTGGCGCCCGAGTATGCATCTAGTGGAAAATTAACGGAGAAATCTGATGTTTACTCATTTGGCGTTGTGCTTTTGGAGCTTATTACGGGGCGGAAACCTGTTGACCAATCTCAGCCGTTAGGTGATGAAAGCCTGGTTGAATGGGTAAGTTCAAAATTTTTATTTGTTGTTAATTTCCTGCAATGATTAATGTTGATGCTTAATCAAAGTTTGTGGCCAAGCATCCGTTGTATGCTGAATTAAAGAGAAACCAAGTATTGAAACATAGTCCATGCATGTTTCCCATTAAGGGGAAAGCCGGGGATTATAGGACGCTCATTCTTTTTTGTGCATGTGGTGTCTGGGCCAGCTTGCGCACCTTGACTATTCCACACCTACTACCTCCCACCAACATAGGTATTGAGTAAC